GAAAGAAAGAAAGAAAGAAAGAAAGAAAGAAAGAAAGAAAGAAAGAAAGAGAGAGAAAGAACAAAAAAAGAAAACAGATCTTGAGTAGCCCTGTGGCCTTCTGGTTAAGGGAGCTGGATCCCACATAGCCAACTGTGTAGTTCAAATCCCATCCCCTGGCAGCTTGAAAAACTATGTGTGTGTGTGTGTGTGCTCAAAATTCTGACAGGGTGGAGAATAGAGGAAAGGGGATTACAGTGTGACCATATCCCACTGGGGTGTGCTTTTCCCTCTATTCTCTGACAAGCACATATGCCCTCTGGCAAATAATTTAAAAAAAAAAAAAAAGTCTGGGGTAGACTACTCAGTTTTCTGCTCTCTTTTGGCCTGTGCCAAGCCCCATTTCTGAGCCTAGGAAGTTTGGATACTCCTCTCTCCATAATCCCAAGGAGGTCTATGGCTGCATCTCTTGACCCTCCCCCTACCCTCCCCCAAGCCACAAGTTCCCTAGATTCTGGCCAGGATGTGCAACTTTGTCTGCCCTGACTTACAACACTTTCTGTAGCTCCTCTTAGCACTTCAGAGGTGAGGGTTGGGGGGCCAATATGACAGCTGCCTTTTAGCATATAAACTGGGATTTCAGTGCCTCTGCTGGCCTAATCTCTCTTCCATCTGGTCTCTCAACTTCTAACCTTTCTGTATTTGCAATTCTTGCACCACTTACTTTGTCTCCCAGGAAACTAGTGGTGAAGCTTCCCCACCCACATGGCAGAAAAGGTTCAGCCACCTGTAGTAAGATGATTTTTCTGGCCCGGCCAGAGTAAGCCTATGCTGGATGCTTCCTCTCCAGGGGCTTGGGAGGGGAAGGCTAGAGCAGCTGCCAATCAAGTTCCTTCATCAGGCAAATTACAAGGCCGGGTGGGAAATATCAGATGGTGACGATCCTTAAACCTGCTCTGAGGCCTTCCAGTCTCTGTCAGCCCGGTTACTGTCCCTGGATCACAGAGGGTGTGGACCCGTGGCCTGAGAGAACCAATCTTCAGTGAGCCAGGATTGGAACCCTGCAGCACTGGCATATATAAGGCGAGAGTCATTTTCTTCAAAGCAGAGGGTGCACGTGTGCACACACATACACAGGTTTGGGTACTGGAGCTGGTTGTCCTTGGTGCTACGTCTCCATCTCCCACTGCCCCCTTACTTTGGTGTGATCCTAAGTAGAAGTGGGCATCCTCAGAAAGCACCATGGGACCAGCAGGTGGTATAATGGTTACATCATTGGACTCCCACGTAGATGACAGCAGTTTGAGTCCCAGACCCAGCGGCCTGAAATTCACGGTGTGTGTGTGTGTGTGTGTGTGTGTGTGTGTGTGTGTGTGTGTGCATGTGCCCAAAATCCCAAGAGGAAAATGGAAAAGGGATTGCGGGTGGCCATCCCCCTGCGGGATAATTTCTCACTGTCTCCTGTTTCTCCAGCGAGCACACACACCCAGTAGCAAAAAGACTCAAAAAAAAAAAAAAAAAAAAAAAAAAAAGCACCACGAAGGACCAGCAGGTGGTGTGGTGGATAAGGTGCTATACTCCCACATGGCCGACCACAGTTTGAGTCCAAGACCTGGTGACTTGAAAATCATGCTGGGTATATATGCGTGTGTGTGCCCCAAATCCCAAGAGGGCAATGGAGAATGGATTGCAGTGTGGTCATCCTCTGGGGGAATGATTTCTCACTTTCTCTCCCTCTCTCCTCTCCAGGGAGCACACACACTCTATGGCAAAAAAAAAAAAAAAAACCCACGCACCTCCATGGAAGAATCAAAGAATTCCTTAATCTGCTTCCAACAGGTTAAAAACTCATCTGGAAAATTCTGACAATAGCAGTAGATTAAAAACTGGGGCTGTGTTTCTCTGACCACTTGGTGACCCACCAAGCCTTCTGGATGGTTGGTGGGGTTAGGGTCATCTATCTGGAGATAATCCGTGTCTGTGTTAAACCCTGCCAGTGCTGGAGACTACAAAACCCCGTCCAGGGCGGTTCTGGGGCAGCATCCTCCCTCCACACTGAAGCGAGTTGCTGAGACTGTGCCCACAAGTCCTGACAGGGGTTCATTCTTAGATCCCAGGACAGAAAAACAATGAAGGTAAACAACCAATATTCGGGCCTCCATGCTGCTGTTGTCCCCTCTGCATCCACTCCAGGCAGATAGGCTGCTCTAAGACAAACGGAATGGGAAGCATCCTTTCCCAATTTTAACATCTAAACAGAACTGCTTTCGTGGGGGTGGGGTGGGGTGTGTGCGTGTGTGCCCGTGTGTTTTTAGTTCCAATAAAGCACTTTAAGGAGGAGGGGATTGTGATCCAAGAGCCTGAAATAGGGAGAGTGAAGGCAAGTTGTAGCCTCTGAGAATCCAGGGCACTGTCCTCAGAGCTCCGCATCTAAGGGCCTAAGGCTGGTGTCTACCCAGGGGAAACCAGAGGGTGGGGTGACGCTGCAGTGTTCACTACTGTTGCTCCTCCCTTCCTGGCTGTTCTACCCCCCCTTTTCCCTTAGAAGGGCAAAATTAGGGACCAGCCCATGCGGTTTGAATCCCAGTCCCGGCGGCTTGAAAAACACATGTGCGTGGGTGCCCAAGATCTCAACAGGATGGAGAAATAGAAAAGGGACTGCAGCATGATGACGCCCCATTAGAGGGTGTCTTCTCCCTCTTCCTCTGTGTGTCTCTCTCTAGCGAGAACACATACCCTCTGGCGAATTAAAAAAAAAAAAATCAGAAGGGCAAAATGAAAGATTTAGACAGTTGTGACCAGCGGCAGCTTCAGACTAAGGCCAGCTCCAGGAATGTCAGCCTGGACCTCAGGAGCAGCTGTGCTGACTTCCAGATCTGTAGTCAGCCCTGTGACTTGAAAACCAGTTAGGGCAAAGTTCACTACTTAAGGCCTTGGAAGTAGTCCTGGCAGAAGAGGGTAACAGTTGATCTTGCACCTAGAAGGAAGGAATATGTCTGTTCTCTTCTGATAGCCAGCACTACGGCCAGCGCAACATTTCTGGGACTCAAGTCTCCTAAGCATCATCTGTAACTGTTTTCTTGCCTCCCTAAGGTGCATAAAACCCAGACCCAGGCTTGGTGAAAAGAGATTAAGGACAAGAATATAACAATACCACGTGTTTACATTAGTTTAATGCTTTGAACTTTTCGATGCCTGTTAACATTCATTGTCTCATCCAGCCCTCACAACATCCCTAAAAAAAAAAAAAAAAACCCACGCACCTCCATGGAAGAATCAAAGAATTCCTTAATCTGCTTCCAACAGGTTAAAAACTCATCTGGAAAATTCTGACAATAGCAGTAGATTAAAAACTGGGGCTGTGTTTCTCTGACCACTTGGTGACCCACCAAGCCTTCTGGATGGTTGGTGGGGTTAGGGTCATCTATCTGGAGATAATCCGTGTCTGTGTTAAACCCTGCCAGTGCTGGAGACTACAAAACCCCGTCCAGGGCGGTTCTGGGGCAGCATCCTCCCTCCACACTGAAGCGAGTTGCTGAGACTGTGCCCACAAGTCCTGACAGGGGTTCATTCTTAGATCCCAGGACAGAAAAACAATGAAGGTAAACAACCAATATTCGGGCCTCCATGCTGCTGTTGTCCCCTCTGCATCCACTCCAGGCAGATAGGCTGCTCTAAGACAAACGGAATGGGAAGCATCCTTTCCCAATTTTAACATCTAAACAGAACTGCTTTCGTGGGGGTGGGGTGGGGTGTGTGCGTGTGTGCCCGTGTGTTTTTAGTTCCAATAAAGCACTTTAAGGAGGAGGGGATTGTGATCCAAGAGCCTGAAATAGGGAGAGTGAAGGCAAGTTGTAGCCTCTGAGAATCCAGGGCACTGTCCTCAGAGCTCCGCATCTAAGGGCCTAAGGCTGGTGTCTACCCAGGGGAAACCAGAGGGTGGGGTGACGCTGCAGTGTTCACTACTGTTGCTCCTCCCTTCCTGGCTGTTCTACCCCCCCTTTTCCCTTAGAAGGGCAAAATTAGGGACCAGCCCATGCGGTTTGAATCCCAGTCCCGGCGGCTTGAAAAACACATGTGCGTGGGTGCCCAAGATCTCAACAGGATGGAGAAATAGAAAAGGGACTGCAGCATGATGACGCCCCATTAGAGGGTGTCTTCTCCCTCTTCCTCTGTGTGTCTCTCTCTAGCGAGAACACATACCCTCTGGCGAATTAAAAAAAAAAAAATCAGAAGGGCAAAATGAAAGATTTAGACAGTTGTGACCAGCGGCAGCTTCAGACTAAGGCCAGCTCCAGGAATGTCAGCCTGGACCTCAGGAGCAGCTGTGCTGACTTCCAGATCTGTAGTCAGCCCTGTGACTTGAAAACCAGTTAGGGCAAAGTTCACTACTTAAGGCCTTGGAAGTAGTCCTGGCAGAAGAGGGTAACAGTTGATCTTGCACCTAGAAGGAAGGAATATGTCTGTTCTCTTCTGATAGCCAGCACTACGGCCAGCGCAACATTTCTGGGACTCAAGTCTCCTAAGCATCATCTGTAACTGTTTTCTTGCCTCCCTAAGGTGCATAAAACCCAGACCCAGGCTTGGTGAAAAGAGATTAAGGACAAGAATATAACAATACCACGTGTTTACATTAGTTTAATGCTTTGAACTTTTCGATGCCTGTTAACATTCATTGTCTCATCCAGCCCTCACAACATCCCTGTGAGGTAGGTCAAGCAGCACGCGGTGTCTCTTATGGCCTGGGTAAGCTAGACTGCAGGTTTTCCAGCTCCCAGGCCGATGCACCTTTCATTTCATGATACACAGAGTTTTCATGCCAGCCAGACACAGGCGCATCAGGGGCACTAAACCAGAGAGCAGAAGCCTGCCTGCTCACCAGAAAGGCTGAGGTTGGGGCATCAGGACCAGAGGTGTCCCCTGGAGGCCAAGCAGGTAAACAGAAAGAAGGGCAGAAGTCCAAGAGGTTCAGCTAAAGCTGCCACTGTCAGCTTGTCTCAGCAGAGCGCACACTGTACACACTGTGCTCCCTATGTGCTGTGACCTCTGTCATGTGCAAAGGCCTTAACAGTTCACCGAGAAGACACTGTGTCCTCTCCCAGAGGGAGACTGCCTCAGGTTGTCCCGGTGCCTCCCCATTCTGTTGCACTCTACAGCCCAGAAAGAGGGGAAGGTGAGGGCTGGCTGACTCAGCCTGCAAGTGCTTAGAGATCTGGAGCTGAAAGACCCAGCACCATTCAGCTAATGATTATTATTAACTCTGAACGGGCTTTGGCACAGCAGCCAGCTGGCTCAGGGAGGATGCCTGGATCTCCCACAGTGAGGATTTAAAACAAGACCCCCAGCAGCCATGCACTGGGTGGAAGGGTGGGGACAATGAGAAAGAAGGGACAGGCCAATGTCAGGGAGTAGGGAAGGGCAGCCTGTCTTGTGAGAGAGGTGAGGAGAGAGGAGGCACAGGCTAGCAAGTGACAGCAGCCTACCTTTGATGCTGCAGAGAAGCCAAGAAGGTGAGGCCGGAAGACTTCCCCAGACGCAGAGCTCCTGCCATTCACCACCCCTAGCCATGGTGGGGCCCAAGGGAAGGGGTGGTTACAGAAATATGGGGGGTCAGAAGAAGCCAGAATGGCAATCCCATTACTATTTGGATTTGGATACAAAACCCACCTATGTTTCAAATGTCCTCAAGGTTGAGTCTGAATATAATCAAACTTGGAATATAATCAAATTTGGAATTGGGACTTAGTAAGCCCAATATGGAAATATGTGCAAATGACACGCAAATTTTTTCTTTTTTTAAAACTCTGAGCACCCTAGCTTTTTTTTTTTTTTTTCTTTAAGGCAAAACAGACTGATTCCTAGCAGCTTTCCCTAGCCAGCGAACAAGGGGAAAAGGGCAGCCATCTGCATCTCCCCCAAGGCCTCTGCCTCCTGCTTGGAGCCTAGCTAACACTCCAGACGCAGGAGATACAGGGAGGTGGGGGGATTAGGGAGTGTGGGGAGGGGGCAGGCATCTGCTGTGGGCAGCCACTGAGATCCCAGCTGGAGGAAGAGTGCCTGGCACTGAAGTCTAATGGTTGTCCAGCTGCTGCCCCAGTTTGTGAGGGCAGGTGGTGATAGAGGGAGAGATGGAAAGATGAGAGAGAAGGCCCCCATAATCTGGCCTGCCAGGAAGAAGGGCTCCTCCTGGTGACCTACTCCCTATACTGCAGTCAGACCTGGCTAAGCAGGCGGAGACCACCTGTGCCCTCCTCTGCCCTGTGCCCCTGGTCTCCAAGCCCACTGGCCAGAGATGACAGCTGGGGCCCCTTCCTTCTGCAGAATATAAATGACTCCCCCTTCCTCCCAGGGCTGGGAATAGACATCAGATGGCACGGCCCACGCAAACTGCCGGCTGTCAGCACGCCTGCCCGCCCGCCCATCAGCCCCCGCACCACCTGGGAGGAGGCAACACCTCAGACAGGCTCAGGCTTTACGGCACTGCCTGCTTGCTCTCAGAGCGAGCTGGGGAACCTTACCTGGCCCTCTTACCCCACTGTAGCCAGGGGGAGACTCTAGGCACTGGCCATAATGAGGGGAGTAGAGATGAAAGTGATCCCAGGTGAGAATCTCCTCCACATGGCCCCAGTAAACATTTCTCCCAAGTCTGCACCACATTGGATAGTTGAAAGGGGGAGAGAAGGCAATAAAAAAGACAGGAATGATCACCCTCTGCACAGCAGGGGCCTCCTTTATGCTGTGTCTAGAGAATTCCTGGGAAATGCCATCTCACCCAGGAGGTGCACGGTCTGGTCTGCAGAGAGGACACTTCTGCCCTGCAGTCCCCATTTCTGTATCACTGGATTATACTAGCCTTGCTTCTGAGCCACCCAGAGAGGAGGCCCTGAATCTTTGGAAAACCCAGGACGTCCAAAATACTGACATCTGAAAACACCTGGAGCTCCAGTCCCTACCCCCAGACCCCCCAATTTCCAGTGATCTGCCTCAGCAGCAGCTCTCCTGCCTCAGCTGCCTCCAATCCTTGCCATGATCTAGGAAGGTCCCATCCCAACTGGATCCAACCACGGCTAACCAGTCTGGCATCCAGCCCTCACCACTGAGGAAAGTCTAGGGAACAAGGAAGGGGTCTCTGCAGGGAAGACAGCCCAGCCCTCACTTGCCAGCCGACACCAAACTCAGTCCCGTCAGGCCAAAGAGCTGGCAAGAGACAGCTGAGGAAGGCTTAGAAAACACAGGGAGAAGGAGAGCTAGGAAGACTGTTTTCCTTGGATCAGAGAAGTCCTGCCCCACTTCCTTGGCCCTTGTTTTGTTCCAAAAGCTTTAGAATAGCTCCACGAACCCATGCACTAAGGTAAGAAGCGAAGTCTTAAGGACAAAGCATGAGATGCCCAGGACTGCTTTTTCCTGAGAATGAATGTCTGGGAAGGAGCACATCCAGGTCCTGCAGCCCTCAAGCTCAGATCCTGAGGTGGGCTGAAGGAAGTTCTTGGCTGGCCTACGGAGCCCAGCCAGGAGCCAGGCTTGGTTAAGCCAACGCCCTACTGCTCCTCCGAAAGCTTTAAAGTGACTCTAGTGCCTTTCTATCTTGAAGTCCAGAGGATCCTCCCCTGAGCCTCTTCTCTTCACAGTGCCTGATTCCTTGTGCCCTGACCCAGGGGCCAAATTTGCATGGATTTCTGAAGGGGCACGAGGGCAGACATGTCCCTTAGGGAGAGCAGAGGGAGAATGAGTGAATGTGAGAGTTACGTCCTGAGTCTTCTACAGTCCACATGGTCTAGAGCTGGGAGAGTGTTCTGTGGCATCACCCTGACAGACACGGAATATCAGAGATGAAAAGGAATTAAAAATGATTTAGAAACACCCATTTCACAGAGGAGAAACTGAAGTCCTGAGAAGGTCCTGAGAACTTACCTAAGGCTGCACAACAGAGCCTAAGAGGACCATAACCCATTAACTAGATTCATGGGCCCTCTCCACTATATCACACTGCTTCCTCAGAAGTGACCCAGATCCCCATGGCTGCCACTCAGGATTTCCAGGAACCCAACTCTTCATCAGGCACAAGAGCAAGAAGTCACCATCACCACCACCCAGTACTTCCGTCTCCCATCAAGAGTGGAGGACTTAGAACAAGCTCCCCATCACCTTCCACTTGCACCCAATATATTTCCCCGTTTTGAACCACTGAGTCAACAAGAGCAGCTTGGGTTTCTGCAGCCCCCACCACAGCTAAGAAATGCAAAAACCCAACCACATCTGAGGTGAGTCCTTTGAAAGTCACCAAAGGAACCACTAAAGTCCAAGGCAAGTGTCCCACAGAGTTCAGAGGAACTCATATTTCGATTTTCTTTCTTGGCAAGTAGGAGCTGGTGATCTGGTGCATGATCACCAGGGCTGGGTAGAGGGGCAGTGCCAGGCACAAGTACCAGGCTGCCCCTTTGATCTGGGCTTGGAACCATGCTGAGGACATGCCCAGGAGCACTGTCACTGTTGCCATCAGGTAGACCACCAGTCCACATGTCAGATGGTAGAGCTTGAGACGAGCAACTCTTGAGACCCTGGCTACCCGGGGACAGAGGAGGCAGAGCCCACACAGTGCCTGGCCACCAGTGGCCAGCAGTGTCAGGGTCCCTACCCAGCTATGCCAGGACACCAGATGGGGCAGCTCACTGCGGGTCCTGCTGGAGATGATGAAGCCCAGGCCCAGGGCTGCACAGAGGATGGTTAGGGTCTGCCCTGCCCAGTGGAGCCGGATCCGGGCCTTTCGGGAGCAGAAGAAGAACAGAGAATGCTCAGGCGAGAAGAGCAGGACGGCTTCAGCCATGCAGAGACAGAACTGTGAACACAGAGACAGCCAATGAGCCTCAGGTTTGGCTTGGAGGCCTGAGAAAAAGAAGGTGTTCTCAAACATAAAAAGAGGACAAAGGTAGAGACTAAAGGACTTCTACCAGGACCTAATGCCCCGCAGGTCAGCACTGCTAGGAATAATTGGGAATCAGTTCTTGAGTTCAGGTCTCATCATTCAGGCTGATGTCTTTCCACACCCTCCACAATGATTCCTACTTTTTGACCAATGGGACAGCCAATCTTAAACTTCCTCCTAAACCTTGGGTGTCAGGGAGGCCAGGACTGGATAACACCTCTACCTCTTCCTCCTTTCAGGCCCCAAACAATCATTTTCCACATCCTCCTACCCTTTTCAACCACCTGACATTTTACCTATAGCCCTCCATGGTCCCCAACCCCATAGATTAGAGAGGAAGATGGGCTCTGGCCCCTTCCCCCACCTCCTTGAGTGTCAGAAAGGCTGAGCTTTTCTGATGGCTAGATGTTTCTCTGGGGGTGAAACCAGGCATATCCAAATAAATCAAGTCCGAACTCACCGCCAAGGCCATGAAGACAGGGTGCCAAGAGAAAAGACCTAAGAATCAAAGAAAACAGGCTGAGTCTGGGCACTATTATTCCACCTTTGGCTAGCTGAAGCCCAAACACTTTGGCCACAGGAGAAAGGTCACCAGCCCCAGCTCCAATCAGGAACTAGGAACTCAGGGCAAACCTGGGCAGCCAAGAGCTTTCAGGTGGCCCATAAGGCCTCCCCGCATACACCAGTTTGGCCTGGGTTCCCTATTTGGCATCTCTCAGCTGTGTGTCCAGTCCTAGAATAGCCTCCCTCCACTTGCATCCTCTCCCTCAGGGGTCCTAATTCGGAGGAAGTAGTCAGCTCGGTCTGTTCCATCTTCTGCCCGCCCGCCCTTCCCCCAAAGCACCCAAAGCCCCACTCCTGGGCCCCGCCCAACCAGGCTTTTCCAGCCCTCCACCGCCCACCCCTCTGGGTACCCGACTCCGCTTTTCCCAGCGCACTCGAGCACGGACTGGAATTTCAGGAAGGTCAATGTCG